TCAAATAGGTCGTGTTTCATTATGACTAAGTGGGTCGCACACGAGGTACTGTACGTGTCGTGATTGACGGTAGTCGCAACGATGCAGTCCTATTGATTTGACCACGCGCATGGGACTGACACCTAATACGCTGTAGTTGTGTGTGCCAGTATAAACGGTGTCAACCAGCGTGGCAAGGCTCTTGCCTCTGGTGCTGGTTCAAGGGAGTGGCAGATCCCAGTCATGCCACCGTTTTCGATGACTTCGAAAACTAGACATTATAGCAATGGTCGCGGAGACACCGATCTCCGGGATGGTGCAGTCGTCGTCGACCGAGCGGACGATGGTGTCGTTGAGGAATCGGAAGCTGCTCACTCAGCCTTCTGCGACGGCGTCTCGCTCGCTTTCTGAGCGGCGCGTGCGTCGGCCTTGCGCTGGCGCTGCTTTCGGAGCCGCACAGCCTTCTCTTTAGGGGCCTTGCTCGCCTGCGTGCATGCTTTTATGGTGATGCATACAGACATCCCCGGAGCAGCGCCACAGGGCTCGAGCGGCATGGCGCAATGACGTTGGATACATAAGTTGTGTCATGCAATTTTGACCAATGGGAAATAGCTTCAGCGACACCCCGCGAAGAAAGTATCTTTCGAATTTCTACCAATCATTGCACGCGGACCCTGAGTTAGACCGACAGACAATTACATGTACTCCTCGGTGGGCTGGTTTCACCAGAGGTTCCTACCAGTATTGCATTGTACTGGAGCTATTACATAACCCATGGCGACGCATCGACGCCGTGATGTAGTAATATCGACGGATGGAGCTCGAGCCAGCTGACGGCGCACGCGAGTGGCATCTTGGTGGCGTCGCACATCATTGGCAGCGTGTGCGCGCACGAAAGCAGACCAAGTCGAGCGCTCGTCCATCGCCCGTTGATTGCATCCGCCGACGTCGCTACATAGAGAATGTAGGCGTCGGTTCCCGTTTGACTGATACCCCGGTGCCGCTTGTAGCAAGCGTCGGTGGCGAAGAGCGCGTTTAGACTGCCGCCTGTCGATTGAAACCCTGTTGTCTTGATCGAGGCGCGAAATACGAGAAGATTCAAGCGGAGGAGCCACCGATGCTTGGCGTCGTTCGTATCGAAGGCACCACCGAGGATCGAGCTCATGGTTTTCGCCGCAATGCGTGGTCCCGGAGCTACTTGCCCACGACGCCAAAAGCGGCTCAAGAGAGGCATACCAAACCCATAAAGAAGCGGCAGCGATGCAAAGACAGTGACGAAAAAGACGGCGCCGAGTAACCCCTCGGTACCCTCTTCTTGACCGCGTTCTGAGAGCAGGCACGAGTCGATCGCGGTGTAAATAGTGATAACGAGCAAGCTTCGAGACTGGAGATACGTGACGGGCCCCGCGACTACGAAGATCACGACTGCCAAGATGCCCGGGTCCACGGGCTCGAATGCGAGCGACGGGTATTTTTGGAGCACCTTGGATACGAGAGCCATCGATGCATACCCACACCAGACGGTCCGCGAGAGGTACAAGCTCGCTGTGAGAAAGGCGACCCAGTCGTGCGTCTGGCAAATACGCACCAGGGCGCGGGAGGCAAAATCGGAACTGACAAAGAAATCGCAAATGAACAAACCGCACAGGATTGGTTCCGAGAGCACAAGGCTCGTTGGATCCCCAACAATCACGTAATAGCGCTGCTTGGGCGCTGTGATAGGGAGGCCCACCCGGCGCAAGCTCTTCGCTAAGTGCACAAAGTGACGATAGTAGCGCCGCCACATGAGCCAGGCGAGAGCACCAGCCATACAACAACGTCCGAGAAACTTGCTCCAGTGCCACGCTGCGGAGTAGGAGGGTAATTGCATACCGACGTACAGATGTATCTCAGATGGGCTCTCGGTGATGCTGACGTCGGTCCAAAAGATGGTGTAGGCAGCAACCACGCCCGCCATGCGCGAGACCTGAAGCGCGTGAAAGTCTGTGGCGTTGCGCCGCCGGGCGCCGACTTCAAGGATTTCTCGACGCACGCGCGTCGAGTAAAACTGACCGTACGTGGTCTGAAGAAGAAATGATGTGTCCTCGTTGGATTTGACGCCGATGGTCAGAGGCAGTCGCACCAAATCGAACGTGCTACCAAATACGTAGCTCGTGCCGTTGGGCATGCTGCGGCTGCGAGCGCGAAAAGCAGTCAAAAGCGATGCCTCGCACGCCGTAAAGTTGCTAGTACAGCCACTTATGCTCTCTTGCAGCGTCAATGCCCATGGAAGCGGCTCCGAGATGTACGCCTTGAGCGGCCTACAGAGATGTGAGCATGATCGCTACACGGAAACGGACCAACATGATCACGACATTGAGAAACAGGAGGGCAGAGACGATGACGGACCACCAGTGGAAGACAACGGCGCTAGAGGCAGCCGCCGGCACCGACTGAACGCGCACAAGCATGCTCAAAAATAAATGAGCGCACAACGACGGCTTTTCCAGATATAATTAGCTGCCTATGAATTGGACGTTACGGAAATACTAGTAATTCTCGAGGAATACCTGGTACCAATAATTTCCTTTGGGAAAAGTCGCAGAACACCCATTTTGACACAACAACACGTGACGATCGCTGTGCACGATGCAAGAGAGAATTGGTTGTCAGACTCATGAAGCACTCAACACATCAAGTTGCCAGTCGTATTCGCAGGCGCCACACGACTAGGTGCCAAAGACGCTGGCATTCTTGTCGCAATATGAATTGTCGAAGTGTGCATCATCATCGAGACTACTGCCTTGCTGGACAATAGCAGCCGTTGCAAGGGTCGGTCCTGGGCTTGGGCGCCATAAACACTGGGTACGCGACTTGATCAGCCATGTTGCATAAGCTCCGCCCCCCGCTCCGCTTGAGGTCCATGAATCCGCGCTCACCTCACGGCGCGCCTCGAGGTCTTGAACTTGTCGTGTTTGTCATCAGTTCTGCTTACTGCAATACCACGTGGTCGGAACGAGCACAGGGGCACCGGCGCTTGACGCCTCTTTGGGAGCTGCACCCCATGTTGTTGGCAACCTCGACCATGATAGTGCGGGCAGCTTGTCGATGGCAGCCTGCAGCGCAACTTCGCCGCGCAAGTTGACCGGAGTTTCGACGCGCACTTTTGATTTCTGGCAGCTCTGGCAACTCAATTCCTGGCCAGTGAACGGGAAGTTGGCGTATGGACAAAAGCCGTCGGCATGAACAACGTTGGGTGCGCGAGCCCGGAGCCTCAAGACAACGTTCGTTTCCTTCACATGCGGCCAACCCTGCTGGCCCTCGGCCGCCACGAACGAAGTGTGTAGACGCGTCGTTCGAGAGGAGTGCTCACTGGTTGGTTAACGTATACAACTCTTCCGGGTGGTATTTCTCAAGCCGGGCGATCAAAAGGTCCTTGGTGGCTCGGAAACGAGTCTCTCTCGGATGCATGGGAGAAAACTCAGTGGAGTGGTGGTCCATTTACCAGTGGCACTAGCCTTCTAGCGCTGCAACTCGGACGACAATTGCGTGCGCACGACTGTCGAGTGTAAACATCGCAGGGACAAAGGTGGCGAGAAAAGTAGTCATCGAAATCGTGACGAGGAGAGCATTGAGCATTGAGCATTGAGTGGTTGCGATGTCAAATGACGTGTGTGCAAGGGTCCTGCTGCGTCGCAGAAAGTCGTTGCGGTTTTCGCACACAGTGAAATGGTTGACCCAAGGATGTTTGCAATAACAAGATAAATTATGGCACATATCAATAATGTACACAGTGGATATTTTGCAGACCTGCTGGCGTTAATGTCGCGGCATCCGCTGTAGCGGTGCAATTGCACCAGCAGTGGTAATAGTCACAGTTGACTTTGCGCCAGTTCGTGATTCGGATCGAGTTGGTGCCATCGAGAATGCTCTGCAGCTGCTCAAACGCTGGCTTGGGCTCCATGATGTGCCAAGTGTGCTTGAAATCGTCGGTGAAGTCATTGACCCCACCCATGCATTTGTCGTACAGCATGATCGTGACCTTGGCGATTTCATCGTTCGTCTCGTTCGCTGGGATCTTGTCGTTGAATGCTTCGTCGTAGAGCGCCTGTCGCCAAGCTTTCTCAATGGATGTCGACGTCACATCGCTCGATTCGGCGACTCCACTGTGCATCGGCGTTGTCCCCACCTTGTCGCACTGGTTGTACAAGTCAGCAAACGACCCTTGCAATTCGTAGGTGTAGCTGAACGGCCCAAGTTGGCTCGCATCGGTGAGCGCCAGGTACGTGTCGGGAATGCCCTGGAACCACGTCTTCGTCGCGGGGTCCTCGTCGACCACCGACGGGACGGTGTCTTCTTGCATCCACGGGGCCGTGTCGCCGTTGACGGTCCCATCGCGTCCTGGGCCGCTCGCTTGCACCTGGCACGATGCAAAGTTGCGCGGGTCCGTCGGAGCGACGCCATCGAGCCGACACTTGCGATAGACGACTTGAAACAGATCAACGGTTGCATGGTGCAAGTAGAAGAGGGGGTCGTTGTTGGACCAGTGCCCGGCCATGTCGCCGCCGAGTTCAGAGTGCAGCGAGTTGTGCACGCCAGTCTCAATGTTGGTCGAGATCGCAATCATCGGCGTGTTCATGTCGCTCGGCAATAAACTCAGCTTGATCATGTCGAGCGTGAATGCGGGGCCGAACCCGTGCTCCGTCCAATCCCCACGCACTACATTGCTGAACGCTGGCGGCAGCGAATACATGGCTCGAACCGCCGGCGAGCACGAGACGACGGAGGAGCACGACTTGTCTTTCCATGCGGCGGCCGCGCCAGCATAGTCGATGTACGGTACCGTGATGCAGGCGTATGTCGGGTCGAGTGACCGCAGCATTTGCTCGTACCCGAGAAGGAAGCGCCGGTGCCAGAACCAGAACGCGCATGTTGACCCGTGCGGCTCGTAGAACGTCATGTCGTTTCGGTGGACGCGGACGAAAGTGTCGAGGTGGCCAACTGTCTTGGCCTTGGTGATGGCATCGATGTACAGGTTTTGCTCGCTGATAGAGAGCGACGACCACTCCTTGCGGACTCGGGCGCCGCAGGACTTGGTTGGCATCGTGGCGGCGTAGGCTCCCAAGACAGCGCTGCTTGGGCTGGGTATGCCTTGCTTGAGAATGCACGTGGTCGTGTGGCTGTTCCAGACGTAGTGAGTACACTCAGCACGTCTAGCACACTCGCTGCAGCAAGCACCGTAGTTGTATTGGGTCGTCTGCTCCAAGTCATTGCCCCAGAAGTCGGTGTCTTTTTGCACGGAATGACACGTGTCGACGTTGGGCGGTGGCGTTGACTTCGCCGTGGCGGCGTAGGCTCCCAAGACGGTGCTGCTCGGACTGGGCGTACCATACTTGAGAATGCACGTGTTGGTATTGCTGTTCCAGACGTAGTGGGTGCACTCCGGCTCGCTGGAGCAGTCCGTACAGCAGTCGCCAGCGCTATATTGCGTCGTCTGGTGCAAATCGTGGCCCCAAAAGTCGGTGTTTTCTCGCACTTGGTCGCACTTGTCGTTGTCGGAAGCGGGTCGGGACAAAATGGAGGCAAACGCGCCGGGTACAGAGTTGGCTGGCCTTGGCACGCCTTGCTTGAGAATGCACATACTGGTGTAGCTGTTCCACACGTAGTGGGTGCATCCGGCGCTACTGACGCACAAGCTGCAGCACGCGCCGTAGCTCGATTGACTTGCCGTCGACAAATCGTTGCCCCAGTAGTCGGTGTCGTTCTGGGCGGTGTTGCATTGGTTCGCAACGACCAGAATGGCTGTGGCTGCAAGTACCCACTCTCGCATATCGTACCGCAAATTGAGTTATGCCATCGCCGTTGGCTTGAAACTCAGAGAAACGACCTGGCACTGCGGAAGCTGCTTTGCATCCCCGAGACCACATCCAGGCACATCGGTGCGAGCGACGAGACCGCATGTTCTCAGAAGGAAGCCGCCAACCTCGGCAGCACACATCAGGCACCTTCTTGTTGAAACCGACCATAACCATCTTCGGGTGCAATAGTATCTGTGCTGATTCACTAACTAACTCCACATCCAAATGTATGGGGCGATGCAAGATGGACTACCTTTAACCGAGTAGAAAAAAGTGACCTGAACAAGATTTCATAGGGCGTCACTCGATTACGTCATTGAGCACGCTGGTCGAGTTGTTCATGTACTCATACTTCAAAGAGGATCATGTGAGAGATCGCGTCGCTGCATTCGCTGTGGAACAATCCCGAGTTTATTTATTGCCCAGTTGGGTCGTTGTCCGATCCAGCCGGACGATCTGAAACGCCTTTGAATATTTATCTGGCGGGAGCGCAGGTTCACGGCCAAGGGACTTGGGCTGACTCACGACGGTGGCAGCTGATTGGTTTCCAGTGGCTCGGTTGCTAGTGCCGGATTTGATCGCCCATGGCTTGCTGTTGCGCACAGCATTAACAACTCGAAGTGTTTTGGCTCGTTATGAACCCCAATCTGGTCGCCGCGACTAGCATCATATAGACAGGTATCGATCACTCTCTCACGTCGCCTCTTCGTTGCAGCAGCTTGTACACAAACTAATCACCCGTGTAGCACTAGCAATCACGTGCAACAACTCAGCATAGAAGCTCAGCATTGAACGACGTTACGGTGTAGGAATGTGCATCTACTCTGGATGCGATCTCGGATGCAGGCAGGCACAAGATCCACTCCCGCCGCTTTCAACTTGTTCTAACGTGACGAGTTGCAAGGTCACACTTCGAAATGATTCCTGGTTGAGTGCTTGATGGACACTGGGGTACACGAAGAACTCCGTCTCGGGTCAGGAGGTCTAACGCCGCGACATCAAGGTCGTCGTTTGCATTGTCAACGTCTCATGCGCACATTGTTAGAAGGTTATATGTACTCTCACGCGCTACATCGTTGAGGTTGTTGTCGTTGTTGTCGTGATCGTCGTGATCGTCGTCGACAAGGTGCTGTACGGCGTGAGATACCCACAATCACCTCGCGTGCCCACGTTGCCATAACCATCCGAGCTCAAAAAGTAGTCGTAGCAGTTGCAGCGTCCGAGAGTCCGATCTGTCGCAATCTCAGCGGTAGTGATCACAAGCACGAGCGTACCGCAGACGCCACGACCCGAGCATTCGAGGTTCGCCTTTGTGCCCGGAATTGTCTCGGTCACAGTAATCGTCGGTGTCCCCGTCGACAGCGTCAGGCCGCTGACGGACGCGATCAGCGGCGGCAAATTTCCTTGAGCATACGTAAATCGAACTGTTGTAACTAGCAAGGACATGAACAAACTATGGGTGCCTTAGAAGTCTTCGATGCAAAAAATACCAACTCCAGTGGCACTGCAAACCGTCGTGGCGCCACCACCAAAAGTCACTGTAGCCGAAACGACGGATGCGAGAGCTTGCAGGGCCGTCTGCACGGTGGAGACCGGTGCCATTGCTGAGATGGCGCTTGTTGTAAGCTGTCGAAACGACAGCGTAAATGTACCACCGTCAGCCGTGCACGATATTTGTTGCTGCTCGTCGACGGTTCCCGAGAGATACGGATCGTCACCAAACGCGCATGAACCTATCAGGCCGTATGAACCCTATAAAGGAATTTTATCGCTTACGGGCCGAGCAGTCGTAGGCTTGAAAGTCATTTACAGCACCGACGTACGGGCCCATGTAGAAATTCTAGACGATTGGAGTCATGAAGGGTATGGCTGCCAAGCGAATACTTTTTGGCAGTAGCAGCCTTGGATTTTGTTGTAGTCCCACGTCGGGGCGTAGTTGGGGATGGTGCCGTACGTTGCTCCGATGAGCACCCCGTTGGACGATGAAAGTGCTGCTAATTGTTGCATCGTCTTGCACGACCCTTGACCACTGCACGCGGGCGACCCGGGACACGCGACTAGATTAACGTCACTCAGCTCCGAAAAGCAATATAACGGATATGTACGCAGGTCACAGGCGGCGCCCGTAAAACCAGCTTGGCATGTACACGTGCCTGTCGAGGGATTGCATATGCCCTATGCGTGAGTTCACGTGAGATTCTGCACTTTGCTACGTAGGGAACCCGATTCGAGCACGGAGCGACCGCGTGGGCCGTGTTGGTCGCCGATGCACCGTCAAACCACGCAGCGCCCGTTGGACAGAGCACTACGAAAATGATTTAGTGGCGAGTGACCGTACATATACTATCTGTACAGTTGGTACAATATGCCCCCGTGTACGGCGGGTTGCACGCACAGCGGTATTGCGTGGTGGCGTCACATGAGCCTTGGTTGTTGCAGATTTTTCCGAGGACCACTAGAAATTACCAATTGTTAATAGGTCAAATATTGCTGACTGCTTACTGGGGCAAGAAGGAACAGCAGTGTTAAAGCCACAGTCACCCAACTTGCCTGCGTTGCCGGCACCTGTCATGGGAGTTTCGTGGCATACTTGAACAACATTCGGGACGGGCATACCGTCACTGCTCGAAAACCCAGGAACACAAGTGCAGATGCCAGTCGCTGGGTTACAGTCACCGCGCCCCGAGCACGGAAGACCCTAGGGCGAAGCATTAAGAACAGCATCGCAGTTGTGGTACATGTCGTACCTCGGTGGTGCCCGCAGCGGACGTCCCTCCATACGTCCCGACCTCGCCCTTGGAGCCGAGCGTGATAACGTTTGTACCGGACAGCACACTGCGAATCTGGATCAGCGGCAGGCTCCCCCCGTTTTTGGTAAACGTGATCGATGCCGTCGTCCCCGTCGGCGAGCACACAGTGGTGCCCGACGAAAACGTGACAGTGATTCCGTGTATTGATGTCAGCGCCTAGTGCGATGCTTGTGATCCATGTCGTATCGTTAAGGTTCTGTACCAGCAGCGCGTCGGCCAGCTGTGTCACCGTCGCCGACGGTGCGATGTTGGCCGTCAAGAAGCCTTGATAGTACAGCGCAAAGTATCCGGTGCACCCGTTGCAGAGGCAGTTGAGCAGTTGTACCTCGGGCGACTGGCCCTACCCAAGTGAGTATGTGAGGGCGACTTGGATTCATTGGGGTTGTCTGCTACTGTCGTCGTGAGCGGATCGTCACCAGCAGGACACGTCCTAAATCATCAGCAATGCCATCGGTTCGGAATTGAGCAAAAGGTACCGCTGCGAGCAATCGTAGCCAGTGTACCCGTAGCTGCACTGGCACCCAAATATCTTGTCGGCGTCCCAGAGACTGTAGGACGTCGACGTGAAGAAGTTGATGCCATCATTGGCGGCCGCGGCGTCGCGCATCGAGATACAGTGACCACTTTGGCACGCTGGGCAAGCCACTACACCGAAAATGCTTAGCCTCGTTTCTCCCTTTGACAGACCGCGTACTGAATTCGCACGCGGCGCCCGTAAAGCCTGCATTGCACGTGCAGACACCAGTCGTCGACGAGCAGAGGCCCATGTTAGAGCACGTTGCCGGTGCGTGGGCCGTATCGACTGCCGACGCAAAGTCCCACCACGCATTGCCCGTTGGGCAAGCGACGTATTCGCAGCGCGGCCCCGTGTACCCAGCAAAACACGAGCTAGGTCACGTTAGTTGAAACACATAAGTGTCTTTGTACCAGCGGCGGGTTGCAGTGCTGCAGACTCCGTTGCCATTGCAGGAATCGCAGAGGTTGGCGGCGGCGGCGGTGGCGGCTGCAGCGAGGACGACCTTCCACATCGTTCCGACCGTTCGAATTTGCAACGACGCCGGTTTCAAATTAGGTTAAACATGGGTTAAACTGGACGACTAGTCCGCAAGGCTCGTTCAAACAGTAAATTTGATTTCGACACATACTGTAAATACAGCGCTGTCTCCCTCAATAGAAAACCTTGCAATTGGGGCTCATTTTTCGGACGGTTCTTCTGTTCCAATAGCCAGCAATAACTTCATAATTGCTCAGACCGCGCACGACATTCCGTGGCCGAGCTTGATGACTTCAACCTAGACACCGGTAGTCAGCCCCCGACCACGGGCAGCTCAACTCTTAAGTCCAAGACCAAGACAAAGCCACTCAAAAAGGCAGGGCCAAGCACGCCAACGGATGGTTACCGCGCTTGTAGAGCAAGGTCACCTTCAGCGTTGAAGATTACGCCGCCGTCCCTCCCGTCGTCCTTCGGTGTGACGAGGACCAAATGTCGGATCGCTTGAGCGTCGAGCAGCGGGCGATCGGCCGCCACGTGCTCAGCGAATTGGACAAAGCGGTCGCCAGCATCAAAGCGAATCATTTCGCATGCGCTCAAGAGACGGACAGCGCACACCGTGCGTTCCATACGCTGGGCATCGAGAGTGACCTCTCTCTTTCAGCCATTGAAACCGATGCGTGCGTGGAAAAAACCGACGCCACGAAGGTCGCGCGCTTGCGTTGGGCGATTCAGCTGGGCGGCTACGATCGCAACGACAAGGTCCACCTCGTCTATACGGACGGCAAGTACTACATCCTCGATGGGCGGCACAGCGTCGCCGCGCTCCGTGAGCTTCTCGCGGCGTTGGTACCGATCAACCTCGATGTCGATGAGCGCGGCACGACCAAGGTGCCGGTGGTGATCCACGCGCCAGAGAACGCGGTCAACGTCGCCACGGCTCTCCACGCCAAGTCCAAGCAAAAAATTGCGATGTTCGTCAGGCAAGCCTTCCTTTGGGACCAGTTCCTTCCGTGGAAGGTGATCAAGGAGTCGCGATCGTTCTACTAAGCGTTCAACCTCGGAGAGTCCGGCCAAAATGCAAAATGGCCGGAGAAGATTTGTCCGCTGCTCCACGGGACGATCGACAGTGCTATCCACGAGAATCTCTCAAAGTCGGGAAGGAAAGCAAGCATTTTCGCGGCGCGCCTCTTTCTTCTCGACGTCGCCGAGTTCTTTTACCTTCAAGTCGACGACCCAAATGATTTTCGGAGCCGTGGCAGCAAAGACATCTACCCGAATATCGCGTCCTCGCTGCGAGACGCGTGCATCTTTCTCATGAAGAGAGTGTTCCCGCGCTTCATCAACCGCTGCGAAGAGCTCCAGCCGCACCCCGACTCGATCATGGCCCGCGACATTCTCAAGCTCTTGCTCCAGCTTGTCGTCTACGAGCAACTCAACGCCGAGACGTTGAAAGCGTTTCTTCCCAAAATGTAGTACCAAGGGTCCGACGTCAGTAATCTTGACCAGCCTTGCGGTACAAGTGGTATCTTGCGGCCCATCCTGACTTTGTAGTCTGCCAAGAGCATTGACGGCAGCGCGCCATCTGACTCAGACGCTGACGATACGATAAGTGATCAAGACGTCGAACCAAGCTTAAAACCGAAGGTTTGCGACTTGTGCATATGGTTTAAACTCATGCTGTGTAGGAGAACACACTGCTCAATCACGACAACAGTGCCTCCAAGAAGCTCGAGGTATATCTGTGCAGCGCCGATTTTGTCTCATATTTCAAAAGCGCACCACCAAGCCTCGCGCGCCATCGTCGAGTCGCCTTCGCAGAGCTAAGGCCATTGGTTGTGTTCGATCGCCTTGACGCCGACCACGTGGTAGAAACAGTGGCAGTTGCATGCAACTCATCATCGACCTTTTAGGATGGGCATTTGGCGGACCAAAGCCCGGCACCCGAGGTCACTCGCGACACCTCGGACTCTTGGCCACTGCCCGCCGCCGACAGGTACCGACCATCAAGACTACACAGTTGAATGCTTAGCGAGTATCTGCCTCGTAGTGTCCTGTCAACCGAGACCACGCAAGACGACATCAACGTCAAAACGCCAGCAAATGGCGATTCCAGAGTTAGGCTGAGCGGCGGTGATGAAGGTGCGTCACGAACACCCACGCCACATTGGCCCACAAACCGAGGTTATAGACGCGGTCGACGTCGCTGCTAAAGAAGCTTCGGCGGTGTACGAGTGCAAACGAAGCTTGGCAATTCATCGCGATGGTCACAGCAAGCTCGCCAAATGCGTCCAAGACCAGGAAGGCCAGTACTTTTCGCTCGAATTGCCGACAATGATGCGGATGCTCAAGATGACGCAAGGGGTCGTGCCTCGAAACGGAGCGTGCGGCTTCTCCGCGCTCTACGGATCTGCGTCGCGGATGGTCAAGGTGGACGACGAGTGCCACACCTCAGTTGTCCGGTTCATCGCCGAGTTGCGCTACAAGTGACTGACAAGCCGCCCGCTCTGTTTGGCCGCGCCGACTGCCAAAACATCGGCGATGGCCACAAGTACTTTCACCGCGTCATCATGCACGTTGTGGCAAAAGAGCCGTTGCCCAAGGACTTGTGGATGACGTCCGGGGTCACGTGCCTCGCTGCGAGCCTCTGGCAGAAGCCCGTGTACGTCCTGGAAGCTCATCCGCGCTGCCACGATGTCTGGCGGCTCTCGCGCTTTGACGTGCACGGGAAGGAGACGGTGTTTGCGGACAAAAACTGCATCGTTCAAGAAGCCGAAGCGATGCAGGTGGGTCATGTTCTGGTGCTCGAAAACAACCACTACACCCATCTGGTCTTGCGCTTCACATTTCACATTTTACGCTAACTTTCGTGGTTAGGTGTCGTGGTGGCTGCCAGGACCCAAACACAGCTTAAACGACGTGTATTTTGTGTAGTTGTACACAAGAGCGCATAACTCGTCACCGATTCTACTTCGAACAACCTATCCGGATAGAGATTTTTTAAAATGCTCCCCGGGGATTTCAGGACCAACCACTCAGCTCCTAGTTTGGAGACCCCTGATGAACCAAAGCGTTGCCGCCGTTCTTTATGGGGAACGCCAAGGAAATGCTGCAATAGAACTACCTGTCACCGTTGCTGTACTACAGTAGTAGCCTTGAAACCTTGACGACGTCCGTATGACATTTTTGGTGGACGTGGGCGAAACCAAAGTGCTTGTAGAAGAGAATGACAATAACCTAGATCATTGTTCATTTCGCAATCGGTGCTCGCAGGCCCGGGCGCAGCGAACGTCCTCTCGACTGTGGACGGTGAAACTAACAGCTTTAAACTCGTGCGGTGAAGCGGTGATGAGAACCGGTTGCAGCCATAGGCGACATAGCAGTAGAAATACCATTGTGTTTACTACGCGCTGTGAGGTATATATTCGACGCGCCGAGGCAAACGCTGACAGCGACAACTCCACCCGTCTTCCTCAACCCTATCTCCGACAATGTATCCGGACATTATCCGGATGTCAGCGGTTGGTATTCCAAAATGATTGCGACGACGAGCGAAAGAGCACTTTGAGCTCGGAGCGCGCGTGACATCTGATGGCATCCAACGTCATGCTTCCTATCTCGAGCACCTTCCGCAGCGCACTTTGTTGCTCGCACATGGTAGCCTGCCTCGCGCCGTAAACTCTCGTTCAACGTCGCCTCATACCCGATCTCTACTGCAGCTCTCGACGCCCGCGCCGTTTGGCTGAGGCCGTGCTCGTCTCGACGATCTGCACGCTTGGCACTCACCAGGATTCGCCGCGAGGCCGTGACGTCAACGCGAGTGTGTCGCCGACCTCGATCATCCAGGCGTCGACGCGCCGCTTGATCGCGTCTCTCACGAGGTACTGCGCTCTATTTCGCCGCTTGTGTCTCACAGAGTAAGTAGGTGCCTTTCTCGAAAGAGGTGTCGAGTCTGCCGCTGCTCGTGGGTCGTATCCTCCAGCGTCACGAGCATACGCGACCGCGCTTGCTGCATGCCAAGCTGTGGACGACCTTATTGGGGCGATGGCGTTACGGACGCGAACGCCGTCATTGACCAAACGCACGGCCGAGGACGCTCGGGCATCTTTTGTCATAGGCCGAGACGCGTGCGCTCTTCCGGCGCCGCGGAAGCTCTCGTGGCGCTGTTTGCGTGTGAGCGTTTGCGAAGGTTCAAGCCACTCGTTCAGGCGCCAACGCCTCGGACGACGCTCCGATGTCTGCCAAGACCGAGGACGAGCGCGTGCTGGCCGCCAACCCGAACTCGACAACGAAGAAGAAGATCACATGCGCCAAGGAAGACCTCAGTCGCTCCACAAGCGGAACCAACTGCGTGCGCGAGCCCGAGCACCTCGCGTACTCGTCAGAGCCTTTCTCGGCTGCGCTGCCGCACGGCGTCGATTCTGGCGCTGCTGCCGAGCTCGACGGGTGTGGACTTTGCCTTCCGCCGACCACGCACCTCGACAAAGTCGTCATTTCCATCACCCTCCGCGCGCGTACGTCCCAGCTCATGCCGGCCTTGCAACTTGCGCCCGGTAGCCCGCTCAACGGGACCATATCTCGTTTTAAGCGCCTCTTTGCCCCGCTCTCGACCACCGTCGTTGACTCGGGCCTCGAGTCGAGGGACACGGTCGACTGGAGGTCCATTTTCTGACGCCGTCGACGCTGCTGATCATCCAATTTGTGCCGCGCGACCTAGTCGTTGAACGCTCTTGACGCTCGATGTACGAGCTTGAAGGCGACGCGCGCCTCCGTTCTCGACACAACCGTGTTGGCCAAGAGCATTCAGCCGTCCAGATCACCCCACCAAGATCACCGCTCTTTTTGGGATCGCCACGTCAAGGTTGCGAGTGGCGTCGCGCTCCACCTCTTCTTGGCGCAGCTCCAGACAACGTATATCATGGCGTGCAAAGATAGTACCAGCTGTGTGACGTTTCGCAGCAGCTTTGAACCTCTACTGATGAAAAATGTGAAGACCTTTCTATTGAATATGTATTTGCTTTCGTATTATGCAGTGGAGCGTTGATGCGAGGCAGTGCTACGCACACTCCTCTGGGCTCTTGGACAGATTCTAAGAGAATGATACCACGTCATGGTGTAGGAATCGGCGTTTACCCATAAGATGCTTACATCTCGGCCCAAGGTCTCGGCGGCCGTCCTTGCACCTCTCGTCCTGTGGCACAGTCTTACTTGACCAATGCGGGTGCCACGTCATTATGCGTTGCGGAGGACCTTCGAGAAAGCATACAGACATCCTCTGCGTTAATTGACAACCGCGTTAATTGACAAAAATAAGCCCGTGTTCAGTATACCAACACAAAATATGTGTTGTGTTACAAGCAGAACTTATTATCTTGCATTCAGTATTGACATAGATATACCAAGTAGGATTACAACGCCACATGTCGTTCCAGGGCCTATCGTACGGCATCGTACTGCTGGCATTGCTCGAAAATGCCCAACACATGGGTAAAATCCCACGCTTTTCAGATCTTTTGTCAATTAACGAAGAATATGTCTGTAGTAGCTTGCCCGGACGGCTTGCCCGGACGTCCATTGGCCGGCTGCTGCAAAGCTTACGTGGGGAACACGCAACGACCTGATTTCGGATCCAGATCCTAGCTGTGCCTGGACAAGCATTCCTGTGGGTTCATGGCTGGCATCCTCCCGGGGATATCCAGGACGTTTTTGGTTTAAACAACCAAAGGCCGTTTGGACATTGTCGAACGATGCTGTTAGACTTGGCAAGTGTTGAAGAAACACTTCCGGCGTGCTTCGTACACTGGCGGTTGAAATTCGGTGCTTTGCTTGGTACGACCCGACGCCTTGTAATCAGCAAACACAATTCTCGAATGGCTTCCATTCTACAGTCTTGTGGCTCTTACAGGCTAGGTTGTGCGGAGAAGCACCACTCAACACCAAGTGTACGAAACCTTTTTATTTTTATTTTCTTACTTCGCCCATCCTTTGCATTGTACATGGTATCGCGCGGTCGACGACTTTGCGTTGGAAAATAAATCGCCGGGAGCTGACGCCTTGGTATATAGAAGACGCTGTCTAGAGTGCGAAATGCGAGGTCGCGTCGACGTCCGAGGTGTACACATATGTAGCAAAAGCGATCCGCGATCCAACATCTATGTGAGGCACATGCCAGAAATACGATCGTTTATACTTGGCACAGCGATAGAGGACACATAAGGAAGCAGAGCGGATCACGATTCGTCTTCGCTGCTGGCCTACAACGCGCGCAATGGTCGACAACAGATACAAAGCGCTCTTGAAACGTTAAGTCAAACGAACACTGTCGTACCGTACGCGCATTGAAGTCGAGTCAAGAAATGTGAGAGAAATCAGGCCTAAGAGTGTACTGCTCTCGTCCAACAGCAGCATACTAGCAAGGTTAGCTTAGACGTAGCAAGAAGCGATCCGAAAGCTCTCTCCGAAGGCTCGAGCCAGCGGCGTCTATGGTGCCCGGATCCAAATTCGCGAGAATGTATGCTCATTTTTACGAACACATTCCAGCCAGAAGACGGTGTCGGTTTGGAGAACAAGCTTGCCGACAGCGTGCAATCAAAGCGCAAATGTGCATCGACAGAACATCGACCTCGTTGCCCAGTACTACTGTACGCGGTCCACGTCCTTCCGTATCGCTCTCGCCATTTGCATATCCTTTGGTCGTCATTCGAGACAAACAATGCCATCAAGCGCGTCCATTCGGTTATTTTGGCTTAGATTGGCGCCGTATACGACAAACGGGTGGTCCGAGAGCTCCAAAAGGCTAAGGAAGAACGTTACAATCGTGCGACGTGCGTGTCGGACCAAAGACATTCCTTGCGGCCTACGACGATCTCGACGTCAGCGCCTTGGGTAGGCTCTGTAGAGCTGGAACGAGCTTGCGCACGCTCGCGAGGCAGATGTTAAAGCTTGCCGTGCGAGGTGCCTTGGGAATGCTGCGAGTTACTGCAAGAGTGCAAAAGCCAAAGTGATTGATCTTAGACGAACCTATCCTATCGTGCTAGTCTACGTTCGTCTGTGGCCCTTCGTTGGTGGTTGGCCTTCGTGCCTTGAGTGGGAACGAGTGGAGCTCGACGCTTCCATCGTGGGCCAGGCCCGAGTCGCCAGCTGGGTCTCGTTCGTGGTCCAGCTTGGCCGTGTAACCGATCGTTACACGGTGGACTCGGTGCCAGGCGCCACCGTCTGACAGCAGAAGTGAGCTGTGACGGGCTCAAACCTCATTGGGTTCAGGCGCCTAGTTACGCTATAAGACACAAGGGATGGAAACGGCGTGTGGTACCTGGCGCTTAACGCGAACGAGCGC